TCCTTTGGTTATTTGTCTGACAAACAAACGGCCATGAAGTTTCAAATAATAGCAAAATATACAAAAATGTTGAAAACTAACACACATTACACGTCAACTTGAAACACAAACACAATGTGGAATATGTGAACATGTAAAACACACACCTCAAATACATTTTATTACAGAAATATAAAATAAACTCACACATATGGACACACAAAGTCTGAGTGTCAACTGAAACTGTCTTTTTCGTGTCCAAACCCTGTGAACTATGAGAAAGAAGATAAAGTTGTTTCCTGGGGCTGTAACGTGGATCCATCTTTAGTTTCAGTCTCAGCAGAAACTCTCCTAAGCAAATATTACATGCAAAGCACACACACAGACACACACACCCACCCACACACACACACACACACACACACACACACACACTGAACGCTCACACAACCAAATCCATGTAAAATGAGCGCTGGCTCTTCCTTGTCACTGAAATGACACAAAGCATTTTAACTGCAAGTTTCACTGAAACACAAAACCGGGCAGCCGGCCAACGGACTAATGACAGAGAAGCAGGTGTTTTCAAAATCACAAAACACCACAGAAGTAGCTTAAAGAAGTGATTAGTATAACTTCAACATTAATACTCATGTTGTATTTATACAAATCGCTTTTTTTGCTGAAGTATAATTATTTAAAAGAACAAACATTGAAAACAGGCTGTAATGTTTACATTCTGTATATATGAGCCTTTTAAATAAGATAATTAGATGCAAATGAACATTTTATCAAAAAGCAAAGCAGAAAGATCAATATTTGAACACACGCCTTCATCTCGGAGTCTTTTAGAGGGGTTCACCCTGTGGTTTCAGACAGCAAACAACACACACACACACACACACTTGTGCAACATCCTACTTTCCAAATCATTCTGTCAGAGCCGTTTACACATAGTCTTTCCTGTCGTACCCTCCTCCTGCACTAGTGGTGCGTGGGGCGGAGTAGGCCATCCGGGGCGGCTGGTACTTCTTCTCTTTCGGTGGGCAGCTGCTGCACAGCATCGCCCCTCCGATCAGCAGCAGGGCGGCTGCTCCCCAGCCGATGTAGAGTGACGCCCCCAGCTCCCTCCTCTGAGCGTTGGTCAGGATGGGGTTGTAGAAATCCCGGATCACAACGCTGGCGGTCCAGGAGACGGGGATGAGGACCAAAAGGCCGGCGAGGATGAAGAAGATTCCTGCGATGATCATCACTTTGGCCTTCGACGGCTCATCCTCGATGCAGTTGGTGCACTTGGCGCCGACGATGGAGATCATGACGCCCAGCACCCCGAGAATGATGGAGATGATGGTCATCGCCCTGGAGGCCTGCAGCTCCTGAGGCAGGGCCAGCAGCGAGTCGTACACCTTGCACTGCATCTGGCCTGTGCTCTGGGTGACACAGTTCATCCACAAACCCTCCCAGATGGTCTGAGCTGTGATGATGTTGGCGCCGATGAAGGCCGTAACCCTCCACATTGGCAGGGCACAAGTCACTATTGCAATGATAAATCCGAGGACTCCGAGGGCAATGCCCACGATCTCCATACCCATCGACATGTTGGCTCTTTGTCTGGTGACGAAATGAAATTCAAATAGTGAGTCCAACACACACAAAGCCTCTCAGATCACAGAGTCTCCTGCTTTGTTGTTCGGGCGTCCAGTGAAGTGTGAGCACCTGTAAGAGGGTGTGATGATGTAGCTGTGGGATGCTGCCACGGAAACACGAGATCCTTTATACCTCAGGGGAACGAGGAGGAGTCCCCTGGCCGTGATGTCAGTAGGAGGCCGTCTTCATGTTTTAAAAAAACCACCGTCTGTGCACATAGAGTGGAGGAGGGGAGCTGGAGGCAGGGCAGGAGGGCAGAGATGCGATGGAAGGAGGGCGTGTCTGTGTGTGTGGTTTGTGGTGGTGGGGTTGGGGTCTTCTAAGCAAAATCAACACTTTAGTAAAGCATTTCAACTGTTTTCTACCAGGAATTGTGTCCAGTCTGGTGTGAGGGATTAAATGTGATATAAGAAAGTCATTAAATGAGATCTGATCAGATAAATCACTGATCCTCTTTGTGGAGAAGGAAGCAAAAGTTTTAGTGTGAATAAACATAGTCAAAAAACACCTAAAATGTAGTTTCCTAATCATAAATACTGACTTAAATGCAGCAGGTGACCACAGTGGAGAACAGAGGAGCTGCTTCAGCCTTTGTCTACTAAGAAATCTTTGTTGTGTGTAGGCATACAAATCCCAAGCACACACACACACACACACACACACACACACACACACACACACACACGGGTGCAAACACACGCTCAGGTTAAAAGCAGATTGTCCTACTTTTATTACTTCCTGGTTTCAGTCATATATCTTTCTTTTTTTTTTCAGGAAGGATTCTGTGTGAGAGAAACAATCCCAAAGCTCTGCTGGAAACCGGAATAACTGCACCAAGAGCAAATATGAGAAAACATAATAGGCCAGTTGTCAGACACCTTTAGCATACAGACAGCACGATCGTCTCAGTATCGGTTAGACTCTGACCAAACATTTCCTCACATGCGGAGCACAAGAACTACAGTAATCCCCTCTAATAAGTTACGATGAATTCAAATAATCTTGCATTCTGAAAATTAGTGGTTGTGTTTTTGTTTGTAGAAAAAACACC